ATTTTACACACATTTTGCATAAAGAAAAATGGTATATCAAATCATTCTGTTATAACATAGTTGAGAATTATCTTTATACAAAGTTTGGTAAAAAAAAAAAATAAATCCTGAAAACTAAAAATGTATTGGTGATTTAAAAAAAAAAAACTATTGTTTTTGCCTATGCATGTTCATTCATGTCTTTTTATATTTCTTTCTTTCTTTCACTACATTTGCAGTTATCACATCTGATTTTTCTTTGTCATTATGATTGATGTGAATGAAAAATAAAGGATTTTAGCATTAGGCTGCAACATCAAAAGTTGGGAAAAATGAAGGAGTCTGAATATATTTTAGTACAGTGACAGATGCCTACTGAAGTAAAACCATCTCACTATTTGATTTTATTGTACAGCAGGTTTAAAAAGTCTCCAGACTGGTTAAAAACAACATGCTGCACAAGTAATCATTTTTCACACAATGTACTACAATTTATTGATTAATGAAAGTCTCATATTTAAGACACCAAATGAGAAAAATTGGGAATAATCAAATAGTAATAAAAATGTACAAACTGATCGCTTTCAAAAAGACCAATCATATTTCTCACAAACTGGAAAAGACAAGAGGACTAAACTTATCACATTTCTGCCTCAGTATTTACACTGCGAGTATTTTGTGTGTTCAGAGATCTTGTTTGTTGTGCTACAGAAGCCCCTGTCGCTTCAGATCCTCATAAGTCTTCTTGTTGACCACGTTTCCGCTGGAGTCTTCATATTCCTCCTGCAAGATAACATGTATAGATATTTTCTTTCTTTCTGAACTCATAAACATCCAGTCTGAAGGTTTTTCCCGCTTGAAAACCTCACTAATCACTAATCTCTCTCCAACAAGGAACAAATCAAGCAGCCGAAGCAGAGTTTGAACAGCTGATTAACGCTGGTTAAACCAGATGCTTCAGTCAGAGCAGAGCTGTACAGCTGAATGTGACTTCACTCAGCGTAATGTCAGACTATTGAATGTGTTTGAGAAGAACTCACCTCTGTGTCTGGCTGCCAGCGCTCTAATGCTTTCTGTGACTTCAGCTTTGACCAGACTATTCCAGAGAAAAGAGAAAAATGCATTTTAAGCACAAGAACAGATACCATTAGGGCCATTTTCCAGAACGGGACCCTTTTGTGTCATTTATTAACATGCAACAATATTAATTTATATGCATTTTTCTCAACTTTTAAATGGTTTAAAATGGTAGTTTGTCTTTCTATGTATTTTCAATATATTTTGTAAAGCTCAATGATATATGTTGTGTTCTATGCAACAATCTTGTCTTTTTTTCCCCATTTATTAAAATGTGTTCTTTTATCATGGACAATTAAACTTGGTCAGGGGGTCAATTATAAACCCTGTTATTTATTTATTTATTTTTAATTAAATGATTACTGAAAATAGATATTGGTAAAAAAAAAAAAAAGTATCTGTATCTCCAACAAATACCTGAAATGTCCTGAATTTGAGCAGAAGGCTAGTAATGTCAAACTACAACAAAACTGTTAATCCTGTTAGCAATTAAATAACAGCATGACTGGAGATGGAAGAATGCTTTTTAATCATTTATTAACACTAATTCATCCTATACATCCTATACATTGCATGAATTGGGTGATTTATGTGCAACCCGGATTCCTGGAAGTGTTGGGACGTTTTTAAAATTCAAATAAAATGAAAACTAAAAGACTTTCAAAATCACATGAGCCAATATTTTATTCACAATTGAACATAGAGAACAAATGTTTAAACTGAGAAATTTTACAATTTTATGCACAAAATGAGTTCATTTCAAATTTGATGCCTGCTACAGGTCTCAAAAAAGTTGGGACAGGGGCATGTTTACCATGGTGTAGCATCTTCTCTTCTTTTCAAAACAGTTTGAAGACGTCTGGGCTTCGAGGTTATGAGTTTCTGGAGTTTTGGTGTTGGAATTTGGTCCCATTCTTGCCTGATTCAGGTTTCCAGCTGCTGAAGAGTTCGTGGTCGTCTTTGATGTATTTTTCGTTTAATGATGTGCCAAATGTTCTCTGTAGTTGAAAGATGTGGACTGCAGGCAGGCCAATTCAGCACCCGGACTCTTCTACTATGAAGCCATGCTGTTGTAATAGCTGCAGTATGTGGTTTTGCATTGTCCTGCTGAAATACACAAGGCCTTCCCTGAAATAGACGTCGTCTGGAGGGGAGCATATGTTGCTCTAAAACCTTTATATAGCTTTCAGCATTCATAGTGCCTTCCAAAACATGCAAGCTGCCCATACCGTATGCACTTATGCACCCCCATACCATCAGAGATGCTGGCTTTCAGGGACGTGCACGGACATTTTGAGGGGCAGGGGCTCAAGTGGAAAAAAGGGCACTTCTCATATTTATTTTTTTTTTTTTTTCTAATCAAAAGTTTTGTTTTTTCCTAAACAAAAAGGGGTGTGCGATATTGACAAAAAATATATCTCACTATTTTCTGGGATTTTATTGGTAACGATAATTTTTTGCTGAGTGTGTTATTGTGCTGATATTTTAAGGACTGCCGTGGACAGCTGACTCCTAACATTTTTGATATTCTTCATATTCTGTGTGGTGATCAGTTTACAGCAGTGATAGAAATTAATCTTTTCCAATAAGTTTAAATAGATTTTTACCTTTTAAATGAAATCAGTATTGACAAAATCCATCTTTGCAATGCAGAGAAAACACAGAAGCTGCATTAAGGTGCATTTAGATGCATTTACACACTGTTTAATGCAGGACATTAATGTATTTAACCTGCAGTTACAAATGCATTCATACTGTTTTGATATTTTAAACATAAAACGTTAAATACTGATATTTGAAATTATTTTTTTAACAAAAATGAAAAGATACTTTAAATGTTAAATTAAACCTGCCAGTAGGTGGCAGCAAGTCACTGTTAATAAGTGAGTCATTGCGATTGAACCAAATCATTTAAAAGGTTGATTCATTCAGGAACAAAACAGCGTCATGTTGCTCAGAGACGCAAATTGGAATTATATTTGTTGGCGAAATAGAGCAAAAGCGGTGAATATTGTGTCTAAAACGTAAGTATCTTAATATTAAATTCTTGTTTATTGAACTGCTGTATGAAATCAATATCACATTTGTAATTATGCTGCTTTTTGGTGGAAAAAGCATCAGTCTTCGCGTGATACTGATTAACTACATGAAATTATATAAATATATGCATTTCTGCCCCCATATCTTGAATTTTGTGATGATTCTAAATGCATTTTAATAAACTGAATCATGCAGTGAACTGAATAATGTAGCTCTCATGAGTCATGGATGTTAGCAAGACAAATGAACTATAATTGCCTTTTGTCTTTTGGATAATTAGCTGTAAATTTGAGGCACAGATAGCTTAGTCTTTTGTTTATCATCACTCATCTCCACACAAAGACAAACACAACTGGAAAGGGAGGGAGGGCTTCACTTCTGCGGCTCTCTGCCTGATGCGCATGTGCCGATCAATGTGTGCTACACTGCTGATGCATGCGCATGTGCTGATCAAGGTGTGCAACACTGCTGTGCTGCGCCTGCGCGGAGGGGCGTCGGAACATTTCCAGACCCGACCTGATATTTAGATTTTTTATTAGTTTGACAGGGAAAGCTGTGCGCAAACAGAAACACACACACGCACATATAGCTATAAATATATTCATTTATCAAAAAAAGAAAAAGAAACAAAGACACTCCCCAGAAAAAAAGGGCACTTTCTCTTGAGGAAGAA